CGCGTTGCTGACTGACTTGCCAGCTTTTCGGCGGATGGTGAAGGTGATCAGCTCGTGGTCGCTGTCACCCAGCTTCCCGTCAATCACTAGGTCGCCGACTAGGTCATCCCCAGTAGCCAAAACCAGGTCGAGCAGCACTTTGCCTCTCGTTGGCCCATAGACTTCTTGAGTCAGGTAGAGGTCATCCACGCACGAGAGGAAGCTTTGCGACCGCTCAGATTTTGCTGAGCGATCCTCCCACAAGATGTCCGGGTAATTGAAGTCACCCATGACAACCATGGTCCTGGAGCATGCGGCCTCAGCCAGTTCCCGGGCAAACTCCTGGTCAAGATCAGGACTTTGGGTGGGAGGTCTGTAGTAGATTCCCACCATTGTGTCCCCTGTGCCGTGTTCCCCACGGATTTTAACCCAGAGGGTCTCCAGCCGTCCACCCTGGTCGCCAATATCGGCTTGCAGGGACGTGTAGCTTTCCTTAACATAGAGAGCTACCCCCCCGCCCCTTTTCTCTACATGATCCCTCCTGTACAGGGTATAGCCATCTATAACCGTGGTCCAGTCATGGGTGGAGTATGATACTGAAGATACTGAACAATAAGTTAAATAACACAAATCACTTCTCAACCATACTGCGGCCTTCACAGCACAGCAAGACTTTTTAAAAAATAATATCATACATACAAATATAAGCAAAGCAAGCTCTTAGGGAAAGCAGGGTCATCCTGCCCGTGCGGAAGTCAAGAGAGCACTTGATTTCACACACAATATTCATATGAGTTCTAGCTCCAATTATATTAAGGGAATTTGAAATGACATTACAGCCTCTTGCAATTATATGAAGGTATTTTGACAAACTATGAAACAGGACAGAATAGAGAAATGTAGCTGGTATAAAGAAGTATAACTGCCTACACATACAGTCTCAGTCAATCCAAGTGAGGAGGTTTCCAAAGGGACGAAGGGCAGTTCAGTGCTCCTTTGCTTCTCACAGGCCGTAGTAAAAGTGCTGGATGCTGTTAAGGCAGTCTCTTGAGTAGACCAACAAGAGGTATCCAGAGGTATTTCATGGGTGTTTCTGTATTTTTTAGCGGATGATGACACTTTTTTCTCTGGAACAGAGTAGGTGACAGAAGAGCAGGCAAGTGAATTTTGTTTTTTGTTATATGGCTATAACTAAGCTGCTTATTCAACACATACAGAGCCAGTTGCACATGTCATTTGCACACACAACTACATATCAGCCTTTGACAAAAACTTTGCCCAAATTAATCCCTAAACAGAAATTCAGTGGTATCATTATTGTTTGTGACTAGGATTTCCTTTTAATCATGACAAAGAGGATACCCATTACGCAACCTTGACTACTGTATTGATAAGGATGCTGAGTTAAGGAATATGGAGACTAAGCTACATAAAAAACCTGGCTGTTTTCCAAACAATATTTTGGAAGTACAAAGCCACAATACTACAATCTCATGACATAACAAATGTAGTAGCAGCAATGAGATAACTAGATAACTAACTGACTTGGATCCTGGAAATATTAAGGAAAAATGTGAGCCTCAGACCTTATTTAAAATCTCAATTGCTTACATTTCCAAGACCTTTCTCCGTCCAAGTTGTGAAAATTACTTTTAGCCATAATTTATTTTCTGGAACCTTTCAAAACTTGGCTTTTTCAGCTGTGCTTGCAGAAATTCTCCTCCTCACTAAGTGGACTTTCATTAGGTGCATCTACAAGAGACACTGTTAGGTGCATTAGCCTAAATTTAAGGCGCATTAGGGCACATGTCTACACATTCACATCCTTAATACAGTTTAAAAATGGTGATTTTAGGCTAATCGTGCCTACATTTGATGCCTGCAAATGCAGGTATCAAATTTAGACATGGATAGTTAAAGCATATTAACATTGTGCGTGGGGACTGATTTAAGATTAACTTTAGTCCCAAATCAGTCCACACACTTTAACACCTGTATGTGTAGACACCTACCTAAGCTAATGTGCATTTCATTTAGGCGTGCTTAAATGCACGTGTAGACACACCTATTATGTATAATTATTTAAACCAAAGACATAACACTTCAAAGCACAACATTTAACATCTTTTATAATTCCCTGGTCTAACCCAGATTTAATTTCACTAGTACCAGCTGAAAGGCTTCTACTACTCATATCAACCGATACTACATTAGCAAGTGCAAATAGGAAAGATTGACTTCAAATGCCAAAGAGTTAAGCAAGTCTCTGAAGTTTCCCTTTTCCCATCCAGTTTACCTGGGCTGAGTGGAGTGCTGACACTAGTTGGCGCATGACCCACTCTGGGTGTTTTACAAGTTGAATCCTTACTAGAATTCTCTCGCTCATAAGAAATACTGGACAAATCCTGAATATCTGTCAATGATCTAAAGGTTTAACAATGAAAGAGACTCATAGGTTACAAGATCTATTTTTAAATATCACTTTCTTACAAATTTCATATTACTTCATTGTGCAATTTGCAGGTTCTATAACAGTTTAAATTTAGGTCAATCTGCTTGGTCTTCCAGAGGTAAGTGAGGGAGTCTTTATGACAATGGCATGTGGAGTTCTCAAAAGACTCAAGAACACCTATGCCAAACTTCCAGCAGGGCTTAAAAGACAGAGAAGGTATCTTAGCTATCAATCTTTTTCAAAAAGAGTTGAGAACTGATCTCAAGAATAAAAGAACCTTCAGCTGGGATACAGAGTAGCTCAAAGCTCTTGGATACTTGCAGCCTTAGATGTCCTCCATGTGAACGACTTACACTCAGTGAAACAACTACACAAATATCCTCAGAAGAACCTTTGTTGTCCACTAAAGATTACTTACAGTTTGAAGCCCTTGCAGAACTGTGGCCATACTGAGTAACACAACTTACATGCTTTTACAGTAAGTATTCCCTCAAAACATATTTAGTAGGCTTTGTTGATCTGAAGGAAATATTTTCTCTCAGCCACTGAATGTTGTCTTAATCAGAAGTTTATATGTAATCTTTCACCACATTAAAAAAAAAGCTTGATTTCCAAATTAAGGTAACGAATTATTCTGCCATGTGGTTCTGTCCTACCAAAATAAGAATTTAAAAACCTCCATCATATTATTCAGAGTCCATATTTATTTGCAAATAAATGGTATTTAACTGTGAATTAATCATTTTCTCTCTAGAGAAAGGACAACTATTCTGTGTTCATCCTACTTAACATGTTCAGAGGAAATGAAGATTCCCAAGTACCTTAACTTGCCTGCATAGTGCCCAAATGACTTTCTGTTTCCCTAATTTAATTACGCCTGGATATGCAAATACTTTGATGTAAGCTAAGGATGACTGTGTTTGTTTGCTTTTTTGTACCTACTCCCCTGCTTATCATGATGAAATACAATCTGTCTACTCTGCACTAGCATCGTGCTTCTGAAGGTCTGTTCTGGCACATCAACTCATTTTATAGCAACAGAAAACTTTAGAATGGTAATGACTAATCTGCTGCAGGTTCACTATGAGATAGTGTGTAGCCTTACATATAGTTTTCTTTGAACTCTTCCAGTGCCTCTCCAGGTATCATTTCTTGTGCTGCTTCAACGCTGTAAAGAGAAAAAATTAAAAGCTCATATTCATTGATTCTCTTGGAAAAAAGTGAAAATAAACTTTTAAAAAAGAGAACAAAGGAAAGTAAAGAAACTTAAAAGACAACGTCCCCGGGGCTTGAGTAAGACGCATCCAAAATCAGAACTCATCAAAAATCAAAATCAAAATCAGGCCTTGAGAAAAGGAAGAGAGGGGCAGGAAAAAAGGTGTTGCATAAACTGGATAGGAATCTGTAGTGTACCTACCACAACAAATACATGCAAAATTCATGCTAGGGGTTCCAAATAAAACCACTGAAAAATTAAGACTTGTAAGACTTGTCACTATTTCTAAGACTTGTTGTTACTCCCTTTTCCCACCCTTTTTCTGCCTTGTTTATGTTGTAGCCACTCCAGAGAGCAGATACTATTGCTGATTAAGCGAATGTACAGCACCTAGCCCACTGGGGCAGTGATTCTGGCTGGCCTCTCTGTAACACAAATAAAAAATAATAATGGAACAGAAGCACTGTATCTGGCAGTTAACTGCAGCAGCAAGTCTCCAAATACTGGCTCAGAGTAAGTGCTGAAAGGGGTCACAGACTATGCTTCGAACTCTGCTACCTCCCAAAAGGGAAAAGATATGGTTTTGTATGCCACCTGAGCTGCAGTACTAAGGTCTGACAAGCTATAAAACACAGGATGAATGCCTGGGATTGAATAGCTTTGCTCTAAAATTTTGGCAGGTCCATATAATATGTATATCTAATATATACAAATTACTTTTCTTATTTACATCCTAACTAGCTCATTAAGCAAAAAGAAGGATGGTAACACAATAAAGGCAAAGCCTCATCAGATCCATGAGTCCTGCTAATGTTTCTTGGCCAGGAAATACAATACATACATCACCATTAAAAATACCACTGGCAGCTTATTTCAGCATTAGGTATTTCAGTAGGATTAATAAAGAAAAAGCACAATCCATATAACCTAATTTATGCTTGAAATGGCAATGAAAATAATAAGTCTTTCTACCTGGCTACAGGCATATGCCTGAGTTGATTTACTCCCACTGTGTTATTGCTAAGGTTTTCTTTTGCTGTGTTGCAGAGAAATTTTTTTCTTCCTGAATACAAATAGGAAATGTTCACCATTATTGGGTTTTGCAAATAAAAAAAATGACATAACTTATTGAACAGGAAATTACAACTTTATTATATTTTTCAGTTCTTGTGACCTCTGTCTTGGTTATTCTCAAAAGACAAATGTGTTTTTAAAAATACATTTTCATAAACATATCCCAGCTGCCAGACATTCTACCATTGGGGGATTGGGTATATTGAAATGTTTTAAAACTCCATCTGAAAAAGAACTGACAAAAAAGAATAGACGTGCAATGCCAACATTTCCATTCCAGATGTATTATTATAGGTCTTCTGGTTCTCAAACTCCAGGGATGTCTGGTAATCAGAATATTAGTGTATGTGGCAATCTGGTTATTAGTGTATGCAGGAAACTAATTTGATTTCCATTTCTTTCCCTCACAAATTACCTGAAGCTACTAAATGAGCAACAGGTATAATAGAAACTGGCTATAACAATAGACTTTCTGATTGCAATGCAACAAGTGCACGATCAAAACTTCCCTCAGCTCAAATTATTCATTCTATGTTCAGGTCTGACTGTACAAATCCTGTTGTATGCCCTCAACTCCCACTGAAGTCACTACAAATGGAGAAGAAGCAGGCCACCAAGACTTCAGCTCTGGCTGATAGGAAAATTCCCAAGTAGATAAATGGCATGCCAGCAATTGGCAAGTTTGTGTCTGCTGCAAGGACAGCATGAAAATAACTGGCATATATTTAATAGCATTACCTGACTCTGCATCCGCACCGATCTGGTTTGGTACGCAGACTTTTGGGGTTATTTCTAATTCACCTTCAGAACTTGAGGTCTGAAGAGAAAGAATGCAACAAATTAAAAATTCTTGCAGTCATACTGCAAAGGGAGAACTCTTGCCCCCATGCGATGTACACCCTAATCAGTGTGGAAAGCAGTAAATCTCTCAGGAACTTCAGTGTCAAGAGCAATAATGAAAAGTGTTTGTTGCCTTTGACATTCTTCACAAATAGTTTCATCGTCTCTAAGAAATGAATAAAAATTGTCTTCCAAACGTGGAAGGGTATAATGAATAGTGCTGGAAGGGATGTCTTACTTGAAGGCTGGCCTCAATTTTTTCTTAGCTTACAGCACGATTTATCATTTTAAGGTTATCTAAAAGCCTTAATTTCCCTGTAAAACATGATCTGAGAGATGATTCTCAAGACGAGGAAGGACTGCTGTAAAATAAAGATGCCATGACAACAAGTTTAGCAGTTTTCAATAGCTCTTTTCCAAATCAGAGACAAACATAAACAAAGCCTTGGTATATATTTTACTCCCATGTAGACTTTGATTTTACCTCTACTTCTGAGCTGTCTTGAGTAACAGGAGGGAAAAATTCATCAGGGTCAGGAGTGAAAAATTCATCGGACAGGTCAGGAGAAGAATCAGAGGAATGATCTAACACCCTCGAATGCCCCTGTTAAAAATGTTAGAAAATATGAATTGAAGATGCTTTCACGTCTCCATATGGCATAATATACTTCTTAAACAACATTAAATAGTAACATGTCAAGTTGAAATCAGTAAGCTTCACTCTCTCATATAACTTTTACTCTTCTCACATGTTCATTGGGGTACCTATGACTTTTACATTATTTCTCTGCATGCCTCTTTCACTTTCAAATGGGAACATTTGAGCCTGCAGCCACAATACTACCTTATGTTGTGGGCCATCACAGCCTAAATGAAGTGGAGCCAGAGCTTTGCCAGTACTGTTAGAAGTCATAGCAGCAATTCAATATGTTGCTTTCTTCTGTCTGATTCTGTCATGTGCCCAGAGAAGGGCATCAGAGAGCAGAGAGAAAACAGAGCTGTGCTTCCAGTCCTGACCTCTTTCAGTCATTAAAATAGTCGGTGGCGTTGTTCTGTAAAAAGAGTGTAAACCCTGGCAAGAGCCCAATCTGGATCATTACATTCTGTCTACAGCACCTAAATTGCCTGGAGTTTTAATTGGATACTGAAGTCTTCACTTCCTGCACTAAACTGCTCTAAAGTGCTATTAAGAATCCCAGGTGTGCTATAAAATGGACCCATTACCTTCTCAAACACAAGACACATCTCTTTTTCTCAAATCATTTGGGAGGTGGCAGGCTGGAGGGGGAGTATAGTGGGTTAAAAGTGAGGCTTGCTATTACCTGGACTGTTTAATCAATGGAAACCAGATTTCAAAAAGTATTTAGGTACCTAATTCCCACTGCAATCAATGTGAGTTACCTAACCTAGACTGATGATTTTGAAAAGCACAGTACATGTACTTAGCTGCCTGGCACTGGGAGCACTTAAAATGTTAAAATGGTCTATAAACTATTTTTATGTTCTACCAAGCAGATCCTGACTTTTCACAAATAAACATTTTTGCAATATAAAATGTGCATCCTACATTGTTTGAAGTGCTGATATAACAATCCCATATACTGTCAATGTACAGATAAATCTCTTTTCTTCATGGGAGTTACAGGCAAAAAACCATTTCTCCTAGGTATGTTTTGTGCATTCTCCTACCAAATTTTTCTACTCCACAGGCATGTGTGTGCTGTGCCATCATTCTGTGAAAATCGCTTTTAAAAACATGAATCAATTCAGATTTGGCAGTAGCTTTTGTTCTACTGCTCTTGGTTTCTTTAGCTCCTCATCACTGGGTATTTTTCATTTGATTGCTCTATATTTCAGCCAACCTCCCACTGCTCAGATTGCCTAGATGGTTTTACAAAACCAAACAAATGGAGGATTCCTGGGCAGCTCACAGCTAGAAGATAAGCATTATCTGGTTGTCTTCATATTTCAATGTGCAACACATAGAAACGAGTGTAATCTGTTTTATAGATTACTGCTAACAATTAGATTTCTTGGATTTAAGCACGTACCCTAGAGAGATTCTGAGATCCTCTAGAAATGTCTGAATTCTTATGAGAGGCTGTTCCAGACTCTGCTTGTTCATCTTTTGATGGAGACTGGCCATTTCTACCTAAAAAATTGAAGCGTGTTAGAATTGAACACAATTATTATGCACAGAATAATGTGGATGGGCTAGTTTGAGCAACTGACAGATTACAAATGTGAAAAAATGACATCAAAGCTACATGATGTGTCACACACATGGGAAGATGATGGCAATTAAATGCCCTGTTTCAGGCATGTGAATCTTTACTGAGCTCTGGTCTGAACATGTTTTTCTTTAAAATACCTTTCACATCCACATCATTAATAATTCATTTCTTAAATTTTCTATAAGCCACATATTAGGATCTAAGCAGGCACAATTCAGTAATAAAGCACTATTCAAAGGATCAAACCTCAAGACTCCAAGCACATAAAATGTAAACCATTTTCAGGATTTTATCCTATTGCTGGCAACCTTTTGCTTGATGTGCCATCAGGTCACTGTCCTCATATGAAATGTGACTATATCACAACCATTTTCATCTCTGTTTCTGGATGCATCTCTGCCACAAACTGAGTTCTTGGCTATTTGTCAGTGTGGTTGTGAGGGATGTGAATGTAGAGAGACATGCAGCAGCTGGATTCTCACAAACTACCCACCTGATTTGGTTACATCTCAGAGACAGACCCTTTGGATCAAGTAAATAATCTACTACATATTTCTAACTGCCAACATTTCCTTTCTGATCTTCATGCCAGTCTCTTTTCTCTCTGTGCATGGGTACATCACCCTTAATTGTTTAGTGTCTCCACACCTTCCAAGACAAATATTAAGCAGCAACTAAATTCACTTAGGAAATGTAGCATTGACCGACAAAGATTTTCAATGGAGGGGCTCTCTTAGTCACGCCTTTAGGGCAAGCCACAACCACTCTGGACCCCCCATTCTTATATGGATCATTCTTATTTGGACCAGATGATGAATACCTCACCTTGGTGCCATACAGCAATGTAGCTACTTACTAACCTCAAATTACTCCACGTTCTGTGAAACATGGTAACCCATAAACACAGGAAATGTGGATGGTTTGACTTTTCTATAGCAATCAAGGTTATGGTCTACTCATGATTGCCAACATGGCACTGGCCAATAGGCTGCTACAGGAAAAGGATTTTCAAAATTTGAAAGAAATAAAACTAGGCTGACACAAAAATAGGAAGTAAAGGCACGTGGGCACACTCACCATGGGCTTTAATATGACAAGAGTTTTCAACCTTCAACATCCAACTATATCAAAGGGACCTTGGTACTCACTGGCAAGACCCTAGATGTCACTTAGTGCCCAGTGCTCAGTCCAGAGAATATTCTACACTCTATATGGGGCCATTCTGGAGGTGAAACTGGCCTGTGAGGCCTCCAATAACCATGCCACAAGCAAGTCCATTTTTACCAGTGTTACCTGCAAAACTTTCGAAGATAGACTCTGCGTCACTCCACTCCGATTCAGATTTTTCCTTCCTCCCCAGATCCAGCGTGTCAGTGCCACTACCTGTCTGCCACCTGCCAGCTCTTCTCTGCCACTCAGGATATCCCCGATCCTTGATGGTGGCTTGTAGATATGTCTCCTTCAGGCTTTCTGCTTCACTCTCAGAAGTGCATTCACTGGGCGCATATGGAGGAAGAAGTCCCAGCTGGCCTGAGACTGCTCTTTTAGCCATCTGTTTCACTTCAGCTAGACAAAAACAATATTCTTACTGTTCCTCTTCTTGTTGCAAGCTAGACTCTCAGAGCGCCCACCTGGGGAATGCCTGCCATTTAGCTCACTCCCCAAGGTTTGCACAGGAGCAGGATTTGGACCCTTAGGCCTTTGCCTGTGTTGTTCAGGCCATCTGCTGACTTGGGAACATGCAGGGTCATTGCCAAAAAGTCTCCTTCATTATCACAAAGACCAGAATCTTACCTCTGCTTTAATAAAAGCAGAAATCTGCAGAAATCCAGGGGAACACTTTGGACACACACATTCATTAGGGAATGTTCCAATGGGGTGAGCCCTGGTGATGATTATTTCTATTCCTCATGTTATATGGCCATCTAGTGGCTGCTGCAGTGACTGATGGGAAGAAGTCCTGTTAATACCCTCACTGGATTCATTACAGGCCATCTGTTATTTCAGCCTTGGGCTGAAAATCCTGGTGGTTGCTCACACCTTAGTAACATTGTTGGACTGATCGTGCAAACTCTGCCTGGGATCAGGACAGAAAATTGCATTTAATCTGCATCATCTCCCCAGGAACACCTGGCAGGGCTACCATAACAAAGTTGGCCCTGTCACATATGCAGAGCCTTTTTATTTTAACTACAGAAACTACAGCACTGGAGGCATCAACAGCCCAGCTCTTTGGCCACACTCTCTATAGATAATACTCTGAGAACTCCCTTCCATTTTTACTCAACAGCCCAATGAATTCAAGGGGATCTGCAGGTGCTCAGCACTTGGGAAGACCAGGCAGTCTTTATTTAGATGCCTAAATATGGAGGCGTTTAATTTCAGAAATCCAACTCTGAGATCTGGCCAAGGAGGAGAGCAACATATGTTCAGTTAGTTTAGGAAGCCCCTTCCTGTCCTCTTTGAAGATGGGACACACACGGATAAGACAAATTCAGCATTGACTGATGAGCCAGCTTGAATAGGGGAAGGTATAATGCCAGGAAAATATGCATGATTACAGGAATCTTGACAAAGATAAATCACTGAGGGACATGAAGGACAAAATACCGTATGTTTCCAGGACACTTCCTAACTTCCATGTTTAATCAACTTTGTGATCTACTCACTTGTCCATTCTGGCTGCACCATCCTTCTCTCTTCACATAATATTCTTCTGTTGGAAATTTCAGATGCTGATTTTGGAAGCCGCCTACAGTAAATTGTTACAAGGTACATTCAACAGAAATGCATTGCGTTAACCCTTCCTCCGATAGTAAAATGCTAATGTGATATGCTTTGGAACCAGCACACTGATCCCCTAGTAGCTTCATTTGCATCCAGTGGTGTGTCCATATGATTTATTATGCATGTAAGGCTTTTCAAATCTTTCTTTAGGTGCTGAAGTACCATTTTCTATCACACCAATTCTTACCACTGTCCAGTTCACCTTTTACAAAGTGATCACAGACCCCAGAGAAAAAGATATTATGTACTGACATATTCCAACTCATTAAGTTCCAGCGGTAGTTATCTGATCAGCTATTGTAACTGACAATGTGTCAGTGTCATGGCAGGATCCTAATTGGATAGATGGATTTTGGCTTGCTGAGAAAAACTCAGTGCCATTTTAAATCCTGGACATGTATGCTTGTAACAAGGGTTTTAGTGGAAGAATTTGCTGAATTCACTCCTTTGTGAACAGGATCAAAGCAACAGGCAGAACTTACCATATCTCCTCTTCAACTGCACTTCCTGCAGAACTTGAATCACCTCCGCTCTCGTGCTGCAAGTTGACATTTCTTTTCCGTCTTACAGACACGCGTGGGTGTAATTGCTGAAATGAGTCCACCAAACCATGACTCAGCATATACCAGGTATTCTGCGATCATTAAAGCCATGTTAAGAACTTGTGGGTGCATCTACACGTGCGCATTTACTGCATAGTACAAGCATGCATCTACATGTGCATGCCCATACTGCGCAATAAATATAGCAACTTATGCTGACTTGAGTGTAAATTTTATGCCCAATTAGTTACTGCACAGTAAATTTACTGCGCAGTAAATTTAAGCCAGCGTAAATGCATGTGTAGACATGCCCTGTTTCTGCAATCTTAATTCACTAGCCTTTATTTGAATGGCACTAATCACATGAGCAAGGGTGACAGGCAGAAGCCCTACATTAACCAGAAGTAGGTGGTAAATTTCTAGCAGGCTCCTTTTACATGTAGGGGCCCAAACCTGCAATAAGGTGAGTGCCTTGTGGGAATTTCTGGTGCTAGGCAACTCACCGATCAGACTCACAATCCAGATACAGATACAAAACCCTCCTCCAAATATACTCTTTTGGCTAGCAATGTTAATAGTTCCCTAAAGTCTACAAGCACTTAGAAATCATCCTCACGTGACAGCTGAGAGCAACAACAACCTATAAAAATACCCTCTCCTACACTTGCTCTGCCTCCCAATATTCCCCACCTTCACTCCAAACAAAGATGATTTCTCCACAGGGGCAGTGGGCTGCCTAATTAAACTCAAATGGAAAGACTTTCCTGTCTCTCTGTGAAGAGCCAGGTACACCAAAGTGCTAGTCAAAATAACAAGAAATAACAGTAGGTGATAAAAATGTAAACTGGCCTCCCTATGTCCTTATACCTAGATATTTTAGTCATTTTCAAATCAACCCTTAAAATGCATTCATTGAGAACACATTTGTGCATCCCAATCCAGTGACCCTGAAAACAAAATTAAGAGGCCAATTTTTAAAGCATGGCTTTATTACAGTCTTATTGTACAAGCCATCAGTGAACAGACGCGAGGCTACACGTCAGAACAAAATGGAGCCATAAATAAAGATGAAACGTCTGTATAAAAAAGCTACTATTTGTTTAAAGCCAAAAAGATGACACATTACCACACTGAGAACTAGACTGATCATTTTCTCTCTTACATACAATGTAAAAAGCAAACAAGCACTCAAAGAGTAAGTAGAAAAGTGATAATCACTGTTCTCCCTTGATAGAGCATCCAGATCCATGCATCTCTTCACCACTACACTCCTGCTAAACGACACACATATGTAGTCACAGTCTTCTCTCCCTTCCTTACCGGATTGCTTGGTCCTACTGAAGACCCCAGGCAGAAACTGCTGTGGTAGACATCACCTTTGTTCTTGTTACTTTGACCAAAGCATTCTGTCTTTTCTCTCTGTGCTTTCCTTTTTTCCTGCACAGCCTTTGTGATAGCCTGGAAATGGTTGATCCCCACAGCCTTCTGTGAACCAGGCACTTGTGGAGGTGGAGGGGTATAGTTCCTTGAAGGAGGGCCTACTGCCTTCCACAAAAACACATTTGCTCCTGAATAAGGTATCTTGACATTTTTGAGGACATCATCAATGTTCTCCAGGTAGCTCTCTATGAACATCTGCTTAGCAAACTGTTCTGTTTGCATTTCCTTAAGCTGTCTCTGTTGTTTTTGGATTGTCTCTAATTCATTTAACTTCTCCTCTGTTCTGCAAATGGAATTTGTTGCCTGCTGCAGGAAGGTCTGAGAAATCTTTAGGTTCAGGACACATTTGCTAATGTGCTGCCCAGTCCTGGATGGGCTACTCAGACTAGTCCTGACATCTCTTTCCTCTTGGTCCAGCATGTACAGCTCTGAGGTCTCGCTTAGTGCCTCTTCTTCCCCCAAACTGTGCTCTGGATCTGTTTCTGAAGAGCTCCCTTCCTCAGAACTGGGCTTCTCCTCTAGCTGTATTTCAGAAGTTACAGGTAGGAGCTTGGAGGCATCCTTACCCTCTTCTACATTTTGCTGCTCTATTTCAGCCCCCAAGGTGCACACTATCTCAGCTTGTCCTTCCATAGCATTTTCATGGAATTCTGAATAATATGCATAGATTTCATTCATTTCAAAGCTACAGAGGCTCTCATTAACATCACTGGCACTGAAGGTCCTCTGGAGGTTAGAAGCCACATCTTGGCTCAGATCGTGTGGACCTGGCTGCACACTAACCATAGCCTCATGATCTAGAACAGTTCCTTTTTTCGCAGGAGATACTGAACATCTTGGCACAGTATAGCTGCATGCTGAAAAACCAGATAATAGCATTAGGCTACTTCTTCAGGCTTCCATTTTGAGTGCTGCTTACAAACATTTAGCAGCAAGCCTCTTTGCTTGTTAGAATAGCAACAATCAAACCCTCTATTTGACAATACAGACATATGACACATTCACTAAATAGTAAACTGACTACTACAGAGTAAAATAGGGGCAGGCATGTGATGCCCAGCCCTGCCGCAAAGTAAAGTACCTAGAATCCAGGGTAAAGTTCTCTCTTCATCATTTTCTTCTTCTCAGTAGAAAAAACTAAGGCATATTCAGCTATACTAAAATATTTTCATGGAAACTTTTGGTTTTGCAAAACAGATATCTTCCACTGGAAAAGGGGGCTGGCCCTAACCCACTGCCTCCACTGCAGAAGTGGAGGGGAACTCAGGACTCCTGCACAGCGGGTTCATAATCCCTGCAGCCCTTAGGGACCTGGACACTGGGGTGACTCTGCAACTGAAACAAGGCTATCACTGATTCTCTTGGGCTGTCAGGGTATGCCAGCAGCAAGGATACACTGGCACCCTACAATCTAGTCTAGACAGGGGTAGTGACGGCAGATGAGAAGTGCCTTGTTCCAAATTACCACTAGGGTTGTTGCTATGCCCAGCTCTGCTAGTTCCAAAATCTGGCCCTTCCCTTTTGAGATGCTTCTGTATGAGAGGACAGCCTCAATGCACACAAACTCACCAGACTCTACGATTGCTTCTCCTTGCAGCTCAAGTGTTCTCCTCTGGTACTTGGATTCTGACCCCAAATAGATGTTTACGTCTGCAGACAGACTGTGCCCTTGTGCATGTGAGCTTTCACCAGGGCGATCCATTCGAGCAGCAATCAAATCCTGTAACAGAAGGGATGCTGTAAAGGGAAGCTGAAATGGCACTGTAGGGTCTTCTGTTTCCAATCTGAACTACTACCATGTATATAGGGTTAGGCCTGCCCCATGCACTGCAGGCAGGCGGATCCCTGCGAGCTACCCCAGATGTAGGAAACTCGACTGCGCAATTCTGTGGCAATGGGAAGGGATGTGTTCTTGCTTTCCCTGTGGCTTGCTCCTCGGCCTTTTGGCTAGGAGCAAGTAAGACTAGGGGGCATCCAAACAGCAAGGCCTCTGGGCTTGGGGCTTGCACGTAGGATGCCTGCCATGGATTTGGGGAGTATCCAAAGCCCCAGACCAATGGGTCTGGGAGAGGGGATACTTGCCCAGTGGTAGAGCCACGCAAACGTGAACAGGTGAGCTCTGCTCAGTTGAAATTTGGAATTGACTCTTGGGCTCTGCCCAATAGAATTCATAACTGATCTGGCCCTTGAAACAAAATTTCAACAACAACAAAAAAGAGCCATTAGCCCAAATGTGCTGAGTATAGCCCAAACTCAGACCTGTGACCTCACATTACAGACCTGAAGAAAAGAACAACACCAACTCTAATAAACTGTTAACTCTGATTAACCAAATGAGACTAAGAGCATAAGTGCTACAATCCTGAGAGTCACCTTTAAGTCATTCTGCAGGGTATACCGAATATCCTGGAGGCTGATGGAGCGGTCCTTCTGTTTGGCTTCCAAGCCTGTCTTTACAATGTCATAATAGGGTTTAGGAAGTCTGGCATCAGTATTCAGGTATTGCCGAGAAACAATGAGTTCTTTAATAAAGGAGTCTTCCTGGCCACTCCAGGGCAGAGTTTCTGTAAGAAATATTCTAATTACAGATTACAGCATGTTCATGAATAATGAAAGAAGGGAAAGAATCAGACGAAGCCACAGGAACAGATGACTTGACATTCAGACAGGGACGTGCCTTCCATTGGGAATCAGACCAGTGGTCCAGTTAGTTCGCTGTCCCTCCTCTCACCATGGCCAGCACTGGATGCTTCCCAGGAAGCTGCCTAAACACTCCCTGTAGTTTTAAAATCATGAAATAAACTGCCGAGATAATATTTTTCCTACCCTCGCCAGGTTGTAGTGGGTTCAACTCTAGGACAACTGGTTTATCTTGCTGACTTTCACAGTGGATGTTCCCACTGCCACTGTAAACGTCTACTCCTTTTAAGAACTTTAATACCCACTTGGCCTCTGTGCCATCTTGTGACAGGAAGTTAGTGTGCCATGTGTAGCAGAACTCTTATCTGTTTTAATTTGGTGCCTGCCATTTGCATTGTCCTTGAATTAAGGATCAAGATCATTAAGAATTCTCTACACCATTTCCTGTGTTCCATACCTCTTATCCATAGACTCCTCCTTAAATTAAGTCATTCCAAGGTTTCTAATTTCTCTTCATATGACTTTTTTTTTTTACTAACCAGTCATTTGATTACCCCTCCCTGAAACCTTTCTATTTCTGTTTATTTCTCTGAGATAGACTGACCAATATTAAATGCATTCATCCAGGTGTGTGTACCACAGATCTGTACAACAGTTCTGTATCTTCCGCATTCTTTTCTATCATACGCTTTACAAAGCCTAGCAATTTGTTTGCTTTTTTGATCAGCCCTGCATGTTGAGTACTTCATTAAGCTCTCCACAATGACGCACATTTCCTTTTTTTTGAGCAACAGCAGCTTGGTCTGAACCCTCAGTATGTACTCTATGTTCAAAATGTACCTTCATTAAACTCTGTCAGACAGGATTTTATCTGCCATCATGCTATCTTTTCACTTAACTAAGTGACAGCTTCACAGTTCCTCAAAGTCTTCTCTGGTTTTGACTAGCCTACCTAACTGTGGGCTGCAATCTGCAATTTTGCACCTTACTAATCAGGGCTTCTTGCCCAATCACCAATTAACACTTTGGGTACACCCCCGCCTTCGCCCCCTTTAATGTTGTCCGGTTGAGACAAGTATTTATAGGTAAATATCTATTGTGTTTCCCTGTCCCCCAAGGCATATTGCCTAACCTAAGGGTTCAGTTAGAGTTAAACAGGGCATTCTTGTTTCTCCCCAGATATCAGCATGCTGTGCAAAAGAGCTAGCAGGGAGATATATGATTTCTTCTTTTCCAAGCAACTCTCCTTCTCATAAGAAGGAAACCTTAACTCAGCAAGTTCTAAAGGAGCTCACCTAAGGGACCATGAAAGGAAATTAAATTGACATTTGGAGTACTGATGATTTGCATCAGAAGCACTCCATGAGATAACTCAGTGACAGAAGTCTGTACCCCTTTAAATATACCTGTTAAGGCCTCTTGCATTACTGTACAGAAGCTATAAATGTCTGATTTGACTGTAGCAGCCTTTTGAAGGATCACTTCAGGAGAGCACCATCTATATAGCTGAGCTGGGACAGGAACGCGTGTAAGATCAATGTGTTCTCCTCCCTCCTTGCTGCCAGAAAAGAAAATGAAACAAGGACAAACTGGGCAATCATAACACATAACTAGTAGCTATTACATTCAGGGTATTCAGAAATCAAAGAGTTCAAGAAATCACATTAGCACACGGACACAAACCAAAGCAAGCTACAAGTTCTGTCTAGGACATTTGGTTATAAATGAGCCTGGCTTTGAATCGTCCCATCTGCAAGGTCTGATCTTCAGGAAGCCAGGAATGAATTTCATAATTTTTATATATTTGTTTATTTTAAATGACTCGTGTGCTGCCCAAACATTAACCAAAACATTAGCCCCCACAGTCAAAAACAGACTTTTGAAAGAACATCTAATATATGCATAAAAATAAATGGTTTGTTTTGGCATGTTATAGGAGCACCCTCTGCCGGGGACAATGAAATATAGCTGGCTCTTTCAAAATGTTACCCTCCAAGGTAAAAAAGAAAAGGCTAGATATTGTACAAGAGTCTGGAAATTAAGATCTCGTTGATCAGATCCAAGGTTCAGAGCATAGGTGAAAGACAATCTAGCCTGTTATTTGCTACGTAGTATCGGTAGAGATACCAGCTTCTATATGAATAGAAGTTGCTTAGGGTTGCCAAATTTCAACCTGCATATTACTAGTTGTCTGGAGATTTCATTCCCTCCCTTTCCAATTAAAAGTCTGATGATAAGGGTACATGGTACTCCACAAAAATGGTGAAGGGGGACAGTGATCAAAAAGGTTTGGGAACCACTGCTCTAGACAGTAAGTATTTTGCTTACTTTTTCATTTCAAATTGCAAATAAGTGTTCTTCAAAATCTTTGTCTAAGATAAAGGGTTTTTCCTCATCTGCAAAACCTAATTTCCTGCGTAATGTAAAACTGTTCAAGGGAACAGTGATTTCAGATATTTTAAGTACAGACCATCTGTTAGAGGAAAGCTGTACTGTAATTTACAGTTCATGTATATTAAAGAGAACCACTTGACTTAAATCATATTTCTGTCTAAAAACATTAGCCCTATCACAATGACAAGTAATACCTAAGATTCAGTGATAGTTGAAAAAAGATAGCAAGAAAATGGAGCAGGGAGGGGGAAGAGCGGGAGGGGGAATGCCGGTGAGGGGGGGGGGCAGAAATCATTATTCATTTCAGTTCATTCTCTTGGTACCTTTGGCAAACTCAGTTTCTAATGTATTTCAAAATTTATCATCACATCAGCCAGTGTCTCCCTCTTATATTTGCTACAGGAGGGAGAACCCCTGTTTACCTTCTCATGTTTTAAAAGGAATTTGCTTAAAGAAGTTAAGATGTAGTACACAAAACAAAAACCTGGAGAATTTTCAAAAATAATTTTACCAATTCCAAATGACTTTGGTAAAAGTCCCTTTCCAAAGCAAATTAGGGACTATTTAGAAAAGCTGGATATGTATTAGTCTATAAGGCTGGACAGGATGCACCTGAAGGTGGTGAGGGAGTAGACTGATGTGATTGCAGGGCCACAAGCCACAGGCCATCATCTTTGAAAACTCCTGGATATCAGGAGAGGTCCCAGATGATTGGAAAAGTGCAAACATAGTGCCCGTATTTAAGAAAGGGAACTACAAACTGGTCAGCCTCAGCTCAGTCCCTAGAAAAATCATGGAGCAGGTCCTCAAGAAATCAATTTCGAAGCACTTGGAGGAGAAGGTGATTACGAACAGTCAGCATGGATTCACCAAAGGCAAATCATGCCTGACCAACCTGATTGCCTTCTATGACAAGATAACTGGTTTTGAAGATGCAGGGAGATCAGTGGGTGAGGTGCATCTTGATTTTAGCCATGTTTTGATACAGTCTTCCACAGCATTCTCCCAGGCAAGCTAAGGAAGTACAGATTGGATGAATGGACTTTAAGGTGGATAGGAAACTGGCTGGAGCACTGGATAGGAAACTGGCTGGAGCATTGGGCTCAATGGCTTGATGCCTAGTTGACAGCTGGTATCAAGTGGAGTGCCCCTGGGGTCGATCCTGGGGCTGGTTTTGTTCATTATCTTCATCAATGACCTGGAAGATGGCACAGAGTGCACTGCACCCTCAGCAAGTCTGCAGATGACACCAAGCTGTGGTGGGTAGTGGATACGCTGGAAGATAGGGCTAGGATTCAGAGTGACCTAGACAAATCGGAGGACTGGGCCAGAAGAAATCTCATGAGGTTCAACAAAGACAAGTGCAAAGTCCTGCACTTAGGAAAGAACAATCCCATGCATCGGTGCAGGCTGGGGGCTGACTGGCTGGGCAGTGGCTCTGCAGAAAGGACCTGGGGGTGACAGTGGACAATAAGCTGAATATGAGCCAGCAGTGTGCCCTTGTTGCCAAGAAAGCTAACAGCATCCTGGCTGCATTGGTAGGAGCGCTGCCAGCAGATCAAGGGAAGTGATTATTATCCTCTATTCAGCACCGGTGAGGCCACATTTGGAGTCCTGTGTTCAGTTTTGGGGACTCAACTACAGGAAGGATGTGGACAAGTTGGAGAGAGTCTAGCGGAGGGCAACAAAATGGTTCGGGGGCTGGGGCACATGACTTGCGAGGAGAGGCTGAGGAAACTGGGCTTATTTAGAGAAGAGAAGACTGAGAAGGGATTAATAGCAGCCTTCAGCTTCCTGAAGGGGGGTTCAAAAGAGGGGGAGATAGACTGTTCTCAGTGGTGGCAGATGACAGAGCAAAGAGCAACAGTCTCTAGCAAGGGAAGCTTAGGTTAGATATTAGGAAGAATTTCTCATCAGGAGGGTAGTAAAACACCGGAACAAGTTACCCAGAGAGGTTGCGGAGTCTCCATCCTTGGAGGTTTTTAAGGCCCAGCTAGACAAAACTTGGGCAGGGATGATCTAGTTGGGGCTGGTCCTGCTTTGAGCAGCGGTTGGACTAGATGTGACCTCCTGGGGTCCCTGCCAACCTGAATTTTCTATGATTCTGGGTATCCTCAACTGCAACTAATCTCAGTGCAAGTTTCAGGGTCCCCAAAACCCAGTTGTATTAGGCTCCAAAAGTAAAGGTTCAGTAAAACAACTGGAATTACTTCTGTTGGAATTACCTTTACCAGAGGAATAAAATTAAAATCTCAACAAAGATTTCTCCCTCAGTGTTCAATGGAAGTAGGTTCCATTTTATAATAGAGCCTTTACATTCTAGAGAAGCAGGCAACCTTTTTCTACTAGTAAAACTGATTTTTAAGTACTTATAGCTATAGACCCAAAAATTTAATCCACCTTAATTTTGGCCACTCTTGATGGGCACTAACCATGTAAATGAGCAATGGAGATGTGGAAACCTCAGCCCCACAAGCCAACTCTACAATACTGACAACAGTCAGGATGAATCTCTGCTGCCCTCATCAAAGATCCTCAGGTAATCATGAGATCTCTCAACAAGATTACCTTGACAACAGAATTTAGTCCTAAACTCAACCTCACCTCCCTTTCAAAGTTATAACAAGGCAATTCTTTACCTTTCGAGCATGTACTCCAAGTTTGTTAACTTTGCTTCACCGGCAGAAACAATCTGTACAGCATAGGAGGTCAGTGAGCGGTGGACAAATCCACGAGCATGCAAGAACCTCAATGCATCATTAATTTGAAGCAGCAGAAACACAATTGTCTCCATGTACAGTACCGGGAACTCTGAACGCTGAAAGAAACAACAGGTAAGAATTCACACTGCTGATCATCAATGTATAGTACAGTGCAAAACCTAGTGTTATGCAACCATATGGGTAGAGAAGTCAAAAAGCGATGCTTTCTACTGTAAAGTAATTCACAGTGCACATAGCAAATGCTATGTGATATCTGAGAAACCACACACTAATACAGGGAGTTAGGACTTCTCACTTTCTGCATCTAAGCAGCAAGTGCAGATTTTGTAACACACTGAACCTTTTCCTAGGCAAACTGTTTGTTAAAAAAAGAACAAAAACACCAGTTCCACTTACCCTTTCATGGAGGATGCTGTACAGTGAGCCAAAGCTAACTCTCTCATACACCAAACGAGTTTTTTCCAAGTCACTAGATAAACAAACTGCCATCAGCTGAAGCAAGTGAGGATGGCGAAGTTTACTGCAAAAAGAGAGAGATCCCAAGAGTATTAGGAAAGAAACCTCTGGCCTTCTGCACCTTTTCACTGATATAACTGTTTCTAACTTATCACTAAAATATGCAAAATAGTAGAGTTGTTCACTGGCAGACAACTGTTTGCTGCTGTTTGAAGATGTGTGCAGTGATGTACTTATGGTACACGTCAAGTATGCGGGGAGGGAATCCCGCCTACTCAGTACTACACTTTCCAATGCACATCTGAGAAAAACTGAATTGTGCATCCCATTTGCAAAAAGCAGAGAAGCCAAGATTCATCCTTTTGCAAACCTGTTGGTTTTTATTCCAAGGCTGCCTGGGCTTGTCTCAAGCCCTGAAACACTGGAGACACTGTACCCTTTTTCTTACCTACTATGCTCCTGCTCTGCTATTAGAAGATCAGCTAAACGGAGCTTACTACAGTTCTGATGTGGTTTAAAATTGAGCTCCTTCACCGTGACTCTGCTGCCACCCCACATTAGGCTACAAAGAAAAAGAGAGAGGATTCCATTTACTGCATTTGTACAATAGGTTTTTCAGTTATAGCATCACTTATAAATAACATCAAAGCGTCTCAGGATTACAGAGCTGTCTCCTGCTGTTAGCAACATGCCATCACTTTGATAACACTGGCAATATGCTTTCAGCTTTCCAAAAGAATAAACTCTTTGCTCGCCAAAGAGTAGCTACAGTGAGACAGAGACTGTTTTACGGAGAGAAAAAGTGCTGCCATTTGGCAGACCACATTACCACAATCTTAGGCAAAAAACCACAGCATTAGAAATCACTTCTCACAGAGGCAGTATCCAACCCCCACGAGACAAGCTAGTTCTGCTGAGGAGTGGCAGGGACCAGCCTGCGGATCCTCTGAATAGCCAGAGTTCTTCTGCAGATCAGAAAAGGCATAATGGGGCCTAACCTGCACTTGTGGCTCTACCCTTTGGGTCTGAGCAAATAGCCTACACCAGGTGTGCCCAGGGCCTGAACTTGGACCACCCTAATCCAAATTATGAGCACACACCAGGGCCAGTTTATAGACAGCTCAACCTCAGGGAGTCCCCAACAATCTCCTTCTTACCAAGGATAAGGAATCAGCATTATGATTAAAATATGAAGAGTAGAATGAGCATAACCAAGTGAAATGTGTGTGATAACAGTCTACAACTGGGGTGACAAATACACAACTTGTGGACTGGATCCAGCCCACAGAGGGCAGTTACGGGGCCCAAAGAGTTTTTTGTGGGCTGGATCACTGACCTCCATGGGCCAGATTCAGTCCCCAGCACTCATTCAGCACAGCTGCCAGAGTCCCTGTGCTGGTGGTGTTAATCCACAAGGCAACTAGAGCTGCTGTTTTAGCAGCATCCCTGGGTTTCAGAGCCTCATGGAAACAGTGACTCCATAAGCTGCAGGGATTAACACTCTCACCTGGTCAATGGAAAGCCCCACCATCTGGATACAGCCTTCGAGAAACCCCATGGGCTGAATCCAGCCCTAGGGGCCTAACAACTTTGATACCTTTTGTCTAGAGATGCTACAAGGAGAGATGACAAACAAAATACAACAGGAGGGAAACCCTGCTATGGCAGGGAGATGGAATGGATGATTACAGAACATGTTGCACTCTTGCTTCTACGATTAGTGAAAGGAAAACAAATCCAGACAGGTCATCTGCTCCAGTCACTTGCTACTCAAGTCTTCTAATATATATTAAACAATAGCAGAAAACAGTTTCAGATCTACTCACTTTGCCATAAGCATGTATGGTCCCGTGTGGTAAGAGAATGTGGGTTCATCATCTGCCTGGAACACTTCTCTATCCCCAATGATAGGGAGAGATGCCAGGTACCCAAGCTGCTTATTGCCTGTTAGATGAAACTGAAACAAGAACAACGCAGTGCATGAATAGGAAACACTCAGCTCCTCTCTGGTTCTACCTCCCAGCTCAGGTACGCATTCAGTGTGCCATCTTAAGGTGTTGGGAGATCAGCTAAAGTATCTAAAACACTGTTTTGAAGCAGAAAAATGCTACATTAGCACTAAGTATATCTCCCCAGGACAACTGACCAAAAGCAAATGTTCGCCCAACTGCACAAATTAAAGATCATCTTGAAAGGACTTAAATAGCCATGTTAAAGGATCAGCTGCCACCCGAGTCACATAGGTGGATCCCCTTGGTATAATCCTTTGTTTGTTTCCAAACAAATCCCAGTTTGGGACTCTCTAATGTTTGCAGACAAGGATTTCCATAGTCCTATTAGTCACTCCCCAATTTGTTTTCCATCCTTTAGCAACCAGTAAAAAATAACTAACAGTGATTGAAAACTAATAAATAAAGGGCCATCTCTGGAGATCTCTCTCTCTCGCTCTATATATATATATATTTATTTTAAACACAAGTGGAAAGTGCTGCCAAAGCTCAGAGCCCACCGGCTTTCATGTCTTACCTTCCCGAACCCAAAGCTGTAGATGTTCCGTGATGAATTTGCTCCACCTTTTAGAAATTTACCCAGAGGACTGTCTGCAATCCTAAGTGTCAAAGGTATAGTATTCAGTAAGTCCCTATATAGACTAACAGTGCAGACCAAGGCTTTCAGAAGGGTTACAATTCCAGCTCCCAAATGAGAGCACTTATTAACAAGACACAAGTACTGTATCAGGGTTTGCCTGGGTTCCTTTGCCTGGGCTGACCCCTGTGCTACAGCTGAAATGAAGCCTGACCTGTAAAGTAGACGACAGCACACCACCGCATGCTGCAACATGCACCAGTCATATTTCAAAAGCTTGGGCATATGCTGGCAGCTTGCCTTTAATAAGCAGCTCTTACCGTCTATATGATTTTGTTTAAAATGAATCAATCAAGTGCAAATTAATATATAGGCACCCTGCAGTCACCTGGACACTCAAGTATTCTGTTTACAGAAAGATATTTCCAGGCAGACTCTTCAATTGTGTCAATAAAAGATATGAACTGGCTACAGACACACTCTCTAAGGATCTACAGAGATTAAGAAACTGTATTTATTTTACAATGCATAGTGTCAGGCATTTGAGATCTAATAAAATAAAAATGCTTATTCAGTGAAATAAAGAAGAAAGTTTAAGCTACTATCTTACAAACTGAGTCTACTATAACAAAAAGAATTTCAGCACTAATAACTAACCCCAGACAGTAGCTTCTCTGAATAGGCAGCTTCAGCTGCAAAGCAGGTATTGCCAAAAACAGAGCATAAATGACAATAAAAAGAAAAGACATGTTATACTTCTGGACCTCTGAGTATAGAATGGAAGGTGCCTGAGTCAGTACCTGAGGTCACAGTCTTACCCTTGAACAAGGCCACCAAATCTACCTGGGCCACAGATCAGTACTTTGGATGAGTCAGTCTTCCTAAGTAAATCAGAAGGGAAATTCTGAATTGCGGCCTGCATGTGTGAAGCACAACGCTGCATAAATTCCAGCATCTGAAAAAAATGAATCGTCGCCTACTTGTTAATGGTAATATACAGCCTCAGCAGAAATACCTAGCTTATTAAAATTCCTATTAGACCATTTATGGACAGTGAAGACGACACTAAAATGCGAGTACCATACAAAATCACTCACGTTCAAAAAACAGCTGCAGTGTGCGAGTGTGTGAGTGTATAAATCAATAATATAAATGGGAAAATAAAACCAAACCTCAAAACCAAGAAACACAGATGATTTCAGTAAGGTAAACATGGTAAAACTTCCAGCAGTTTTCCTTGCTAGGAAATCTCTTTTTCAGTAAAAAATGCACATTAAAAGAAAAATGTAAATCAATGTCAGTCACATTTTGTTGCAGGGTTATGTTTAATGCGAAGTGACACATTGTATTTGCATCATAACAACTGCAGATCTAGGTCCTGATCTTCCAAATACTTACACATATGCTTGGTATTACCTACAAGAATATGTGTAGTTCCAATAGGCTTACTCACAAACAGAGTTCCACGTGTGCACGAGGGACTGCAAGATCAGGGACTATTGTTATAGTTCTCATCACTGTACATAAACACCTCACTGCCCTGATTCTGCAAGATCATTAGCACAGGAAGGAGCCTCATTAAAATCAGGTTGATCTCAAGTGACCCTGGTCTCTAAGCAACACTGAGTGTGTCTACACATGCGTTACTGCGCAATAACTAATCAGGCATAAATTTGATACCTGTACGGCACAGGTATCAAATTTATGCTCGAGTCGGCATAAGTCACCATATTTACTGCGCAGTAGGAGCATGCACATGTAGATGCATGCCCATACTACGCAGTAAATGTGCATGTGTAGACACACCCTGTTAGAATGGAATTCTTCAATGCTGTCTAAAAACACCGCTTCCTGGGCTATCAGGATTTTACATCTGGAATGTATTTGATGTTTGAAATCTTTGGTACAGACACATACCTGAGCGCTAGTTTCCTTTCCAGCTGACAGAGCCCAGCACTGTGGAGTTCTTCCATCTTTATCGTGGACTCGCAGATCACCGCCCACATCCAACAACTTACTAAGAACCCCCTGATTTCCTGAGAAGGCTGCAGCATGTACTGGCGTGCTCCCATCATAGCAACGGCTGAAGAATATTACAGCAGAAATATTTCAAATGATTTTCTTTGGAAAATAACTACACTTCTTGAAAGAAAAGCATACAGACAATTCTTTTTTTGGGTAAAAATAGATGTCTATACACACACACACACACACACACACGAGGTGTTATATATCTACACTCCAAGTATCACTCCACACATAAAACCATAACCCATTACAAAAACCGCACCCGTGCATCCGTACAAAGTCCTGCTGGCCACCCGGACCTGTTATAATACCCATGCCGCGTGCTATACATACACAAACAAACTCTGGTCTCTCAGACCAGGCATCCCTTTCTTCCATTCCCCACCCTGCTTGCGGGGTCACAGCCTCAGTTCACCCTTGTCCACGCTGCAGTCACTCCAGCTCCTGCTAGAGGACCCACTGCTGCTGTTGCTGTCCTCAGTTCCACTTGTCTCTTCCTCTTCCTCGCTATCACTGCCCCCTTCCCCGCTAGGGGGAAGTTGGAAGATCCTGTGCCACGTGTCTCTGTGCCAGATGGCTTTGGCTGCATCCTCTCCATCCTCCACTACTGATTTCTGGAAGTAGGTCTGGAGTTCACTCAGAGCCAGTTTCACACTCATATATATACTTCTGCACAAGAAAATACACCCTGATCTTGACACAAGGGGGTCCATATATAGAGGAAGTACACCCTGGTCATCATCCACACATGGATTACAGAGAAGTAAATAACTCTGCCATAGAATAGTACTTGTGTTGGGCAGTACTATCCTATGGCAAAGTTAATTGGTTTACTCCAAGCTAATAGCACCACTCGTGTAGACGATGACACTTTACTGCCGAGCTAATTAGGCAACTCCACAGTAAGTGTCTTGTGTAGATGCCCCCACAGAGGTACAGCTGAGGTAGGTGTATGGGTAGGTGAAGACACTTAAAGCTCTGAACACGGACGTGCTCAAACGGAGACACTAAAGATACCTATGCTACAAGCTTCTTCCCACTGAACTCTTGCGACACTTGGCTGTTATGCGGTTATTCCAAACCCACACTTGCCCACGGAGATATCCTAGCACACGAAGCTGCAGTGCGCGTCCCTCAGACTGCTGCTTACAAAGGCACATTCAGTCTGATGGCACAGAACTCTAATTATCCTGATATTCACTTGTAACATCTAATATAATGCATCACAATGACTAATAACTAACTTGTTTCATCATGGAACATTATAAGGCATATTTGCCATTCAGCCCCAGAGTAAATTGCTGTTGTATAATCTATCCCCAGCTGTCATGAAGTTGAATGATCCTGCTCTTGTGAAGGGCATGTATCTTTTGTATCTGCTCATTTATGTTTATTAAAGACAATGTTGTGCATCACAACAGTTCAGCTGTCCAAAAAGGTTAAGTCTGCATCAATGTATTAATTCTTATACTTAACTGATTTGGGTCCGAGCCGTAATCCAATAGCACATCCACTATTTTGCCGAGACCGAAGAGTGCAGCAGTAAAGAGAGCAGTCTGGCCCAAGGAGTTTACTGCATCCACGTGGATCCCTACAACAACAACACGGAAACACAGACACTAAATGTCTTTCCTGCTCAAGGACCCCTTCAGGCACATGCCACTGATTATCCCACTGGGAAATGAATCCCTTTACATGGCTGCTCAATTCCTTTCCGAATATTCGGAAAATGTAAATCTACAAGATCACGTCTAATGGAAAACTATCATGCACTTTAAGCCTGTACAATTTTGAATGTATTGCCTATTATCAAATCTTACTGGTTTGGGTTAAATAATAAGCAAATGCCAATGATGCAAAATATATTAAATAAAATCAGATAATAAGGAATACATTATATTTCTTAATATAAAAGAATAAAATGCCTTCAATAAGAAGCCTTGCTTATTCACTGTAAACTGTTTTAGCTACATCGCTACCTTCCAAAATGTGGTAGTGAAACAATAGGTAATTTCAGAAACTTTATGATTAGCTTTGGCTTGAATTTAGTAAGACCTATAGCAGTTACACTAAGTAGGTTGAAGTGGGTGTGTTATAACACTCACCTTGCCCAGAAACGCCTATTTAATAAAACCAAACTAAGACATTAACACACTTCAGCTACCTTTGAATCTTTAATACCACATCCAGGAGAAAGGGAGCTGAGGAGGAAATCCCTGGCATTAGAAAGCTTATCAAACTCTGCCCCAACTGCAGAGCACTCGGAGCAATCCTGGCCTCTACAGAAAACCCTTTTTTGAGAAAACTCCCCAGAGACTAATCTCAAGATGCTACACAAGGAGAAAAAAAAGAAAGACAAAGAGTGCTGGAAAACGTGAAGCAGCCCAGCACAAAATTTGAGATGGTTTGGGTAGGTTGCACAACTGCGGTTCGCGAGAACGGGAGCAATTGTGCACCTCCAGTGCTGCTGTAGGATTTTGGACAGAGCCCAACGCTGGAAACCCCTCTGCTTGTGAAGTCGGACTGATGTTAACAGCTGTTCTCAGGCAGACAGCTTCCCACCATAGTTAATAAGCGGACATGCAAAATCTTCATGTTTCAAGACTGAGGCTGGCAAAGGATTTGTATCAGCTTGTGTCAGGGGCCAGAACCAGCACTAGTACTTTACCCCTTTTCAGCACTAACTGTCTAGAACATGCCCTAACTGTCTGGGCCAGTACCCGGAGGCAAAATAGAGTTTATTAGGTTTAACGTCTACTACCCCAATACCACACACTCGCAGAGCACCAGCCGAAACACTCCAAAGACGAACGCTATTGAATTCACAACCCACAAATCTACTTTTAACCAATGAAAGACGCTAACCACTCAGTCCGCGCCCTCCCCCTCCAACCCCCAAAGGGGCGGAACGGTCATCGATGACGGGCAACACCGCACAGCAGCGCCGCCCGCCCGCCTCACGCTCAGGGAAGGGCGCCACGACTCGTCCTCGTGGCTAGCGAGACCGATCACTTTCGGACACACTTCTCTAGTCACCAACTATAGAAATGATCCCTGAAAGTATAGTCTTAACTTGGCAAGGCACCAGCTACGCCCCCCACCTCAGCTCCACATGCTCCACAGACACAGTGACACACCACTGCCCCACCAAGCACCAGCCCCAGCATCCACCTGCACCCCACAGCAGCACCACATGCCAGGCCAGCTGTGCTGTCACTGGGGTCCCGCAATCACCACAACCAAACATTGCTGACATGCCTTACCCAGGAACCCTGTCCCCTAATTAGCATAATCTCTCCTCCCAACCGGCGACTGCAGCAGTGGAGGGGATGGGAAGGGAAGGCAGCGGGTTTCGGGGCGCACGGCCCAGGCTAAGAAGGGAAAAAAATCACCACAAACAATAACGGGTCTCTCTCACTGACTGAAAGAAAAGATAACCTGAGCCAGCCTCTGCGTCGGTGCAGACAGGCCACTAACCTACTGAGGAGGCTTTAAACCAGGTTTGTGGTGCCGCGAGGTAGGTGGGGAAGTGGGCGACCTGGAGGAAGCGCAAGCAGGAGGGGGAAAGAGGGGAAGCCATTCCTCAGAAATCAGGTGGGGGTCTGCACACCAATGCACGGAGCCTGGGAGCAGGGGGAGGCCTCACATGGTGACAGACCTATGAGGTGGCTGGACTAACAGAGACTTGGTGGGCGCTCGCCTCGGAGCACTGTCATGGATGATACAAACTGTTCAGAGAGGGCACACGCGGAAGAAGAGGAGGAGGAGTTGCACTTGATGTAAAAGAGCCATATTGCTCAGAGCTCTGGTATGAAACTGGAGACAGGCCTGTCAGAAGTCTCTGGGTTAGGGTCAGAGGGTCTGTACAGCAACGTTGCTACAGCGCCATGCTTTAGTACCTCCTTTTGGAAGTATTAAAACATGGCGCAGTATGGGCTGCTACTGCACCGTGTGGGCGGTGCACGCTTACATTTTGCAGCTAAGTCACTACAGCAATGTAGCTGGCAATCGCGTGTAGACATACATGATTGCTATGTTGGTGTAGAGCGCCCTGTGGCACCACAGCACATCTCTGCGTCACTGTAGGGTGACATGTAGACACGTCCAGAGGGGAGAGCAACAAGGATGAAGTTGTGGTGGGGGTTTGCTATCGACCACCAGACAGGAGGATGAGGTAGATGAGACTTTCTTCAGACAGCTAGCAGACGTTTCCTGATCACAGGCCCTGGTTCCCATGGAGGATTTCAATCACGCTGACGTGCTGGGAGGGCGATACAGCAGTGCGCATGCAATCCACGGCATTTTGGGAGAGCACTAGAAACTGGTGCAAGTGCTGGAGAGGCCAAGTAGGGGCTGTGCTCTTCTTGACCTGCTGCTCACTAACAGGGAAGAAATGGTGGGGAGTGTAGTGTAGTAGTGGGTGGCAACTTGGGCAGTAGCCACAAGATAGACTGAGTTCAGGATCCTGAGGAAAGGAAGGACAGAGAGCAGCAGAGGAAGGACCCTGGACTTCAGAAAAGCAGACTTTGACTTGCTCAGGGAAGAGATGCAGGCTCCTGTGGGAGGCCAGGAGAGCTGGCTATACTTCAAAGAAGCCTTACTGAGAATGCAGGAACAAACCATCCTGATGTGCAGAAGACTATGGTGGAGAGGGGTCTGGTATAGACTTTTTCAGAGGCAGGCCCTCTGAGGAGGACAAATGGGTGGGGGTACAGATATGGAGATGGGTGTGCAGATACCTGGTGCAAACTGTGTAACAGGTTTTTAATGGTTTAACTGTCAAATTGTGCTTTGATCTGCCACATGAGCCACAAGGGCAGAGTGCTGGAGGAAAAGTTATTTATACACACACACACACACACACACACACACACACATATAGTGATGAGACTGAAAATCATGTTAAGCTCGGGCCTACTCACAGAAGTTAAAATACAGAATATTGATGCTAACTGCATAATGCAAGAGGATGCAAGTTCATGGCTAGGCCATCTGAAAATGAGTAATGAGGTATCTTTTTCAGCTTATTTTGCTATATTCAGGATGATTTCAGGCAGACTCCTAGTTGTCTGGTGTGTAACCGTATGAAATGTCTATCTTTGATTAATTAGTATGCTAAAGATTTCTTTTGCGATTAACTCATGTTTATGTGCAGGAAGAAACATTCTCCATATGTGACAGGTGTCTCCTCCTGATTTAGTTTTGTTTTTGTTCTTCTCTCATGATTTACCTTGTTTTCCAAGGACAAGTATGTTTTTCCTGGTTGTTAATCAGTTTCTTGATATGTTCCAACCTGGATAACCTCTTGTCACTGAAGAAGGTAACTCATTCAAATTAGAAATTTCTGATAACCGATAGTGAGCAGGTTGATTAACAGGATTTTCCTGTCAATTACTGCTTGGGACTCTCTCTTGATTTACACAACTAAAAGAATGCTTTTAAGTAAAACAGCAAACAGAGCGCATGCACTTCAAGAGTGAGAAAGAAGTCTCTCTGACACCAGCTGCTGATGCGCCCAACTTACTCAAAAAATCGAAGAGAAACAGACCGCCTCTTCATCGCCTGTTTGGTGAGAAATCATCACTTTATAGCTAGTTACTGGACTTCGATTTGGTTTGGTCTCACTTAACTTGATTTTGAATACTTGTAGTAATAAAGCCTTTCTGTCACTCATCGAACAAGGTGTCATGTCAATCCCTGGGCTAGCCCAAAATCCTAGGTTTTTATTTGCTAACATATAGAAAGATATTAAAAAAAAAAAGACTAGCAGGGATGGCAGAAGACCATCTTGGCTTAGCAGGGAACTCCTCAGTAAATTAAATCACAAAAGGGAAGCTTACAAGAAGTCGAAACTTGTACAAACAAGCAGCACAGTTTGGGGAGGAGGCAAGCAGCCAACAGTGGTGAAAGAACAGGTTAGGGACTATTTAGAAAAGCTGGACGTGTACAAGTCCATGGAGCCAGATGGCATACACCCAGGGGTGCTGAGGGAGTTGGCTGATGAGGTTGCTGAGCCACTGGCCATCATCTTTGAAAACTCATGGCGATCAGGAGAGGTTCTGGATGGTTGGAAAAGCGCAAACACAGTGCCCATCTTTAAGAAAGGAAAAGGAAAAAGGAGGATCCAGGGAACTGAAAACCAGTCAGCCTCACCTCAGTCCCTGGAAAAATCATGGAGCAGATCCTCAAGGAATCCATTTCCAAGCACTTGGAGGAGGAGAAGAAGGTGATCAGGAACAGCCAGCATGGATTCCCCAAGAGCAAGTCGACTGCCTTCTTTGACAAGATGACTGGCTCTGTGGATGCCGGGAGACTGGTGCATGTGGTCTTTTTAGCAAGGTTGATTTTAGCAAGGCTTTTGATACGGTCTTCCACAGCATTCTCACAGGACTGTAAGGCGAACAGAAAACTGGCTGGAGCATCAGGTTCAGTGGGTAATAACCTAGATTGTGGACTCCATCCTTGGAGGTTTTCAAGACCCAGTTAGACAAAGCCTTGCCTGGGATGATGTACTTGGGGCTGGTCCTGCTTGGAGAAGGTGGTTGAATTAGATGTGACCTCCTGAGGTCCCTTCCAGCCCTCATTTCTATGATTCTAAAACAAGAGATGATTAATGGTGCTCTATGGGTTTTTTCATGGTAGTAATCAGAGCACATCCGGCAGTGCCAGCTACTTGAGGAACCATCTCTCCTTGCTTAGAGCCACGCTGCTTGGGGACCCTAGGGATGCACATGGCATTGCCATGAGCTCCCTCCTGTGGTGCGCTCTGAGCTCTGCAGGGCCTGCATAGGGTAGAAGCTCATGTGGCCAAGCCCCACAAGGCCATCGGTGGGGCAGACACCTGGGGGCCCCTCCCAGGATGATACAAAAAATAGAGAAAAAATAAAAACATAAAGCACTGGGACACCCCCAGCACTAAGAAACACCTCTCAAGCGTCACCACTGTAAGTGCAGACACAATTGCAGCTCCCAGCTGTAACTCAGAAGGGTTTCTGCAAAGCGCTCTGAGTTACAACCTTACCACAAACCAAACACAGGTTCACTGGTGGCTCCAGGGGGAGGGGAATCTAGCTGTGGGCTGGGAGCCTGCAGCCAGGTCCCTGCAGCAACAGCCAGGGCTGTTTTCAGAATGGAGGGGAGAAAGGAGCTCCTTCTTGGGGCTCCAATGCACCTGCCCAACCCTCCAGGGAAAGGCTGATAACACCCCAGACTGAACTCCCTCTGCTCTCTGTCCCCTCTTGCATTTGTGAAAACAACTGCAAGCTGGGAGCTCCACCACCACAAGTTACAGAACTTGCTACATTTTGAAACATCTTTTTATCTGGTAAAGATATTACACCTCATGCAAAGACAAACAACAGCCATTTTTAAAGCTGTCTGCAGCTTAAAACTTGCATTTGCTGACAACCATAACCTGCTTTCTGCAGCCAGCTCAGACAAAATTGTCACCTATGCACTTTCTGTTCTTAAACCAATAAAAGATACTAACCACTCAGGCCGTGTTCTCCCCCTCCAGCCCCTGAAGGGACAGGAACACTCATCAATGGCAAGCAGTGCTGCACAACAGCACCACCCACCTGCCTCATGCTCAGGGGAAACCACCATGGCTCATCCTCATGGCTAGCGAGACCAATCATTTTCAGACACACTTCTCTAGTCACCAACTATAGAAATGATCCCTGAAAGTATAGTCTTAACTTGGCAAGGCACCAGCTACGCCCCCCACCTCAGCTCCACATGCTCCACAGACACAGTGACACACCACTGCCCCACCAAGCACCAGCCCCAGCATCCACCTGCACCCCACAGCAGCACCACATGCCAGGCCAGCTGTGCTGTCACTGGGGTCCCGCAATCACCACAACCAAACATTGCTGACATGCCTTACCCAGGAACCCTGTCCCCTAATTAGCATAATCTCTCCTCCCAACCAACCAGAATCCCAGCCTGTCTTCCACATGCTCGGGCCGCTCAGTGGCTCCATGGCACCACCTGACAGTAACACAGTGCACCGTGGTGGAAGTGCAGCCCGTCCGCCCCGCAAACTGCCCAACATGACCCCAGTGCCCTGCACTCCCTGAAGCAACGATGGTAGGGCCCCCCATGGGCAGTTACAGGCTGCGTCAAAACAAAAGATTATTAATGTTTTAAGGGTTTTTCAGGGATCCTGGTTTTCTCTGATAAAAAAATGCAAATTCTCTGATTAAAATCCCCAAAATCCATGTGCACAAACGTACCAGTTAAACACAATGCTTTACTGCTATATGTACAATTTGAATGCAGTTCGGAAGCCTACCAGTGCCTCAATCCCTGTAACAATAAATTCTAAATACTTCTACATTTTGGCATTTGATTTGCGGGTTTTTATCATGAAAAATTAGAGCTTACCCTACCCCCTTCACTCATGAGGATGCAGGTCCAGCTGCAGCTCTCCTCCCTGGCCACTAGTTTGTGGGGCTCAGCAGCCCTGATATGCCTTTGCCCTGCCCATGCCATTGCCCCTCACTCCCCACCCACAACCTCCCCAGCCCTGGTGGTCCCCTTTGCTTCCCCACCCACAGCCAACTGAGCCCTGATAGCACCACTTACTTGCCACTGACAACCCCCCTGCCTGCTCCCAGCTGTGCCAGAGGGGGCCCCCAGCTGCCAGGGCTATGGGTCCAAGGACCCAGGTCCACAGCTCCCTACCCTTGCAGCAGTACCCTAGCCCCAGCTGCTGCCTGTGGCAGAGTCCAACTTCCCCATGGGCAGCATGGCTGGTGCAGAGTCCATGGCTGGCAGGGCAGATGCGAGCTGCCCACTGTGGGCTCAGGCTCCCCAGCCTCTGGGGCCCAGCAGGCAGGACCTGGAGTGGCAGGGCAGAGCAGAGTGGGGTGAGGCAGGGCAGCAGGATGGAGAGCCCACACCCACCCCACGCACAAATCCCTCATGCCCCCCTGCGAGTGCGTGCAGTAATGGGGAGCCTCCCATAACTGGGGGGGGGGGGGGGGG